TTAATTTTGAAAACAAATTTAACCTCCACTAAACGCTAATTCAGTATTAACTAGTCATATTGACATTTTTCTTAAATTGAAGTTAATAGAAGAAACACTAACAAATGTTCTGTTAAAAAATATATTCAATTGTATTAAAAATTAGTTCTTTCATAAGAACTTACCATTAATATTTATAGATTGTTATTAATAATATTTTTAAATTATTTTAATTAAGAAAATATTTCATAATTCGAAATTATTTGAATTGAAAGATAGCGATTAAATGAGTTATAAGGTTGAAATTACTTAATTATTAAACTTTAATAGATATTGCACTTAGAATTCTAGAATTTTTTTTGTGATTCTATTAGCACAAATATTTGATAAAAAATACAACTTTTTTTAGTAAATTCTACGGCTTTTTTAAACACTTAAAAATGTGACGTTTTCGGCGAAACACTAGCTTTATATATATATATATATATATATATATATATATATATATATATATATATATATATTCTAATTTGATATTAAAATGTTTATTAAGTTTTTCCTTTTTTGTATATAAGACATTTTTTATTCACTTATAAGAAATGGATTTATTTTTATAATTATTTTTAATAAGTATTTTTATTTTTTAATAAATAAATATCGACAATGACATGAATTACACCATAATTTTATTTTAACTATTTTAATATTTCAGAATTACATTTCAATATATTAATATTGACATATTGTATATTTGTTTTATTTTAATATTTAAAATATTTTCAATAGTGCATGGTGTATTTTAAATATTTTTACATTATATTAAATATGTTATGTCTATTTTAAATAAACTTATTTTTATTTTATTTTAAATTTGAAAAGAAATATTTTAAGATTTAGTATAATATTAATAATACATACAATAATATATATATATATATATATATATATTAAAAAAGTTATAATTACAATCATATATCTCTAAATAACATATTATATATGAGCGTTTTAAATTAAATAAAACTTAAAATTATAAATACTAAAATATATTTTAATAATAAAAAATTAAAATTTTCCAAAAACTATCATACATTTATAGTCATCAACTAATTTTAATTAATAATTTTACTTCATACTTAGCGTGAAAAAGATAAAAAAAATGAGATTGTTTGAATTAAAAATAACAATAAAATAATAATATATAAAAAATTATTTATTATTATAATAATATATAAAATATATTAATTAAAATTTTGTGAACATAATTCTTGTAAATAATTGATTATATAAGTATATATTATATAATGTTTGTTTAATCAATTATGTCTAAACTGTTTTTTAAACTTTTTTATAGTTCAACAGTATTTAGCTATTACCAAGTTGAGTTTTTTAACTACAGTAATTTTTTATTTATTTATTTTTTTGGTTTCAAAGACAGTTTAACTAGTAGCTTAAAGTTAGTCGCTGGTAGCAAAGTTTATTAAAGTATAAATGTTTAGTAAAATTATCAATTAAAATAGATTATAATTGTAAATGATAAAACAAGATGGTGTTTATACATTATTTTTATTTTTATGTAAATTTGTTTTTTGATCAATATTATATATTTTGAGGTATTTTTAATTAATTTTTAATTATTTTATTAGTCTTTTATTTATAAATGATTTATTTTTATTATTTTTATTTTATTATTTATCGCTATATACTTTTCATATTTATATATATTATTAATCTTATAATATCTTACAATATTTCTAGTCAAATTTAAAATAAGTACAAATAATTTATTATTAAATAGATATAGATATTAATATATTGAAGTATAATCCAGAAATAGTAGAGTAAATATTATAAATATAAAAGTATCTAAATAATGATAATAATAAATTATTTTTTATCATTGTTAATATATAATTTAATAAAATATTAGAAATAAGAAATCGTACCTTAGGTACAATAAAATAAAAATAATAAAATCCTATATTGTAAATAGATGAAGAAAAAAAATGCCTACAAAAGAGTAAAAACGGAAATGTAATGAATATTTTAAAGATAAAATAAAAATAAATATTAAAAACCTAAAAATTACGTGTTATAAAGAATGTTATTTCTAGTTAGAGTTTTTTCTTTTTCTTTTTCGAGACATGCTCAGAGGAATGACCAAACGTATTTTTCAAGACATTTTCATTATTAGTTAAATTTATTGAGAAAAAAAACTGTAAATCTATGTCATATTTAATGAGTCTTTGTGGATATAGTAAAGTTCATCAAATTTAAAAGCATAATTGAATTTAGTATTTGGGCACTTTATTATAATTTTAGGTTTTTTGGATTAAGGAGAATACTATTTATAAATTATTTTCAATTTCAATTACTAAGTGATATAAAATATTTAGACGTATCGAAAAAGAAAACTCAATAAAATTAAAATTATTAAATTAGAGAAAATGTTTGTTTTAAAATTAATTTAAAAAAAAGAGTTTTAATGAATTAAAAGAATATTATATTTATAAGTAATTATTTATATAAACTCTTAAATGTGAATTTTGTTAAGATATTGAAACTTGTCCCTTGATTAAGAATAAGGGACAAAATGACATATTCGAATATTTGATATCAAATTTACTAATATTGTTAAGGTGATTTTGGAGTTTAAAGTTATCCAAATTTATCTGGAAAAAAAAAAAAACTTTTAATGGTTTTGGGTGGAGCAGAAAGATATATATTCTGTGTGTTTAGTGGTAACAAGAGGAATAAGGAAGCATGAGTGATACAAAAGATAAAGTTTTTATAGAATATGAGAGATTTGAGAGATTGCATGCACAGGAGTCAACGTGGAATATGAGCAAGTATGTGTAAAATATGAAAACAAAGGAAAGCGTGTACATTGTTTTATTGGGTGTCAAAATTAAAACCAAAGTTATTATTTCAAATTCTCCTCTGCTTCAAACACTGGGTGGAAAACAATAATACTTAACAACATCAATTAAAAGACTAATACATTAAGATATAAATATTTTATTATTACTCCTAATTATGTGTTTAAGAGACAATTATTTGTCGATAATCATATGAGCATGTGGAAAATGGTTTTAGTAGAAATAACCTTTGAATGTTTTTACATTTGTATAAATTAGGATAAAGTTGCTCTCATTTTAAAGTGGTACTTCTATCTCTACTTCTAAATATGAGTAGGTGGTTACAAAAGAATTGAATTTCAGAAATAATGAGAAACATTGAAGCAACTGTTTTTGTTTCTGGTCAATGAATTCCTATGGACAGAACATAAATTATTCCTTATGCAAAATAAAAATAACGCAACCAAGTTGCAGAAGCTTGTGGTATCTATGATGATAATGAAGTACTTTCTGAAGAAAAGTGAGGCTGCTTTTATGTAAAGAAGTATCATTCTAGTAGAAGAATCAAACCCCAACCAAAATATAATAATGTATACTCCTATATCATCCAATCCAAGGAATATCCCCAATACAATAAATTTATTAATGCCACCATCCTGCAATTCTAAGGGAGGGGTGCTTAGTGAAGGGAATAATCACTGTATGTTGATAATAAATACCCACTCATGCCTGATTTCATTAATCACTAACTCAAACCTTTAGACAACATGCCCAGTTTCAGAGTAGATTTCATTTTGGTTTTCACTACGGAATCCTTCAACCGATAATTGTAAACTGTTTCTTTTGGTGGGAGAGATCATCAAAATAGATTATACTTCTTCTGATAAAGAATTCTCCATACACAGAGGAATCATATCTCTGTATTGTATCTTTGCAAGTAAAGAAATTATCAGAAAAAGCTATATTATATCTAGAGTTAAGACCAGTTGTCAGGACATTACAAAGGCATAATGAAATCACAGTAGCTTTTATTCCTCAAATCAGACATCAATATACATGTTTTTAATTTGTATTGATCTCAAAGAACAATAGGTATCATACTTCTGCCAAGATCTTCAAAATGATTTAAGCCCTATAAACTGATAATAAAGAAATGCATGCAAAACAAATAACTTGAACTTCACTTCAGATTAAAAATGTCTACAGCTCTGCTGATCATGTTTTCAAATGCTATCAAAGATTTTATTAGTAGCACTTTTCATTCTTTTGGTTATTGCTCGAAACCTTATTTGATCTTTTCGATGAACTGTAACATAAACTCCAGCTGATCCATGTTGCAATTATCTCTAAGAAACAAGTGTCAATCCAAGAAAGACAACAGATCAATCATGTATTTCCAAGATGCAACGTGAGACCTACATAGGATGGTATTTGAACTTAAAATACACAGCATAAAAGATTAAAAAGGAAAGATGAGTTACGGATAAATAAAATTATCAGTTTTAAATATTGAATACAGGGTGTGCCAAGAAAGAAGAGCTATGGATCAAAATTAGTACACTCTAGAATTCAATGTCAAGCAATTAGTAAGTAGTCTCATCAAAAGAGTGGCATCAATTGGAGCTTGTCTTCAGGTCATCAAACAGGGCAACATACATTTAGAAATGGGAACAATCAAACCCATAACCAATCCCAATAGACTGGGTTCACAGGCACGGATTGTTGCACAATTGATCTCTCAAAATCAAAAATATTTTCTTAATTTGATTCAAATTTGTTATTAGAATTAACATTCTTGTCACATGACAACATCACTGCTTGCTGACAAATTTTTGTCATCTTCTCTTCAATAGTTGCTAATTAAATTTTTACCACAATATATTCATTCCTATAATTATCTTTTCTTCTATGTCTACACATTTAGCATTCCCATCTTATCAATCCCTACACTAGTTTATTTTCTTTGTCGACATTTTACCACCCAATATTGGCTCCGTAGAATTTTCCTTCAGATTTGATAGCACTTTCTGATCACAAATTTTTCTAGAACAGTTTACTCAACTCATCTCCATGCTTGAATTCCATGTTTAATATCCACGTCAAGTTCTCCATCTCTTGCGAGATATCTAAACCATGCAACTTCTGAGCTCTTTGATTCCAAAGCACATGTCGTTCACACCAAGCACCCATCAAGGTACTTAATCTTGGATGTATTCAATCAAGTATGTCCAACACTAAGGGCATGAAGTCAAAAGTGGACTTTGGTGAAAAATAGCTATTGCTCATGTGTGTTGCTATTGATTTATCATAACTTTTCAGAGGTAAAATTTGGCATGTGTTTGTCTACACTTGAGCATGTTGAAGATGAAATAAATCCATATATGAGTACTCATGACGTAATAGCTTAAGACTTTAAGAGTTGGTTTTTAACATGAAAAGTGCTTCATAGTCACTGTGAAATCCTTTTGAAAGATGAACTATCTTCATTTCCGCCAAAGAACTAGTTACAGTGCTGCAAAGCTTGCTGTCTATTATATTTTGTTATTTGTTACTTTTAAACTAGAAGTAAACATTATTAGTACACATAATGCGGCTCCTTGGAAAGAAAAGATAATCAAATTATCAGCATGTCTGGTAATTGCATGCTGAATTTTGACACTGAAAGCCACCCATTGGAATCTATAAAGAGAGGTCCAACTCGCCAATGACAAAATAAAGGAGTATCTTTGGTTGAAAGAATAAAAGAGTAAACGAATGTCCTTTGATCTTGATTCTTCTCTTCCACTTGTTCTCCACTATCGCGATTCATAAAGTGGTTTCAAGGGAACGAAGAACAAGTCACTTTATCTTCTGTCCTTTTAACAAATATACTCCCCCGACGGGCCTAACAAGTAACCCTTCCAACACTTTTCCTCCTACTTATAAAGTGCTAGCTTGGTTATTGTTTTTCCATACCATTGCTTGCCTGAAACAATAATTTCATTTCTCTTCTTCTCAGTTTGTGAAATTTACTTAGTCACTTCCATTTTTCTGAAGTCTTCATTCTACTGTCCTACCCAGCCTGTCAATATTACCATTGCTTTTAGTTGAAATTTCATTCCATACATACATTCAGATGGAATCATCTTGGACCCAAAGGCAAAACAAAGAATTTGAAAAAGCCCTGGCTAAATATGATAGAGAAACCCCAGATAGGTGGCAGAATATTGCCAACGAGGTGGGAAAATCGGTGGAGGAGGTTAAAAGGCAATTTGAGATCCTCAAAGAAGATGTCCGACGCATTGAACGTGGTCAAGTGCCATTCCCCTACAGAACAAACAATTCTAACAGTAATTAAGGCATTGGAATCCAACAACACAGGTACTGCACCACCATTTTCTTGATATTTGAGTAAATAGTCTGCTTGAAGATATTCCAAAAACCACTTTGGTTTCAAGTGTTCCTATTTTGCTAAAAACACAATGCCCCATACAAGAAAAAAATAAAATAAAACAGAAAATCAGTTTTAAGTAGACAATTGAAAGAACTATACTTGCCAATGAAAGTGTAATTACTTCTCATTAGCCAATTGGATATTTGGAGAGAAATCACTAGGCATTCCTTTCTAAAACTCTGATCAGGATTCTATATTCTATCGGACTGAAGCTTATTCAGTCTGCGCTATCCTCAGCCTTTAAGCAGTTCGTCATTTCTTTACACTTTCTTCAAGACCATCTTATAACTGAAACTGTTTTCAACACTCTTAGTCTAATCAAATTCTTAACATTAAAACCTTTTATGATATGCGCAAAAAGACAGTTCACTGACCTAATTTCCCTTCCTCTATTATTGGCAGGTCATTGATCCATAATCCAACAAAATTGAAGACTCGTGCGATTATAATCATATCAGCAGTAGCTAAATAAATGAAAGTATCAGCGATGAACTGTGGAAAAAAAAGTCTAACTGTAAGCAACCGTGTGATTGCTATAGTTTCTGAACGTAAAAAAAAAAAAAAAAAAAAAAAGAAGAAGAAGAATGTATTAAGTTGATGTATGTACGAATTAATCATTATAAACCAGTACTACAATTATTAATAAAGAATCAGTTATATATAATCTGTTTACTCTACTCCTATGCACGTGCGGATGCACTGAATAATAAACCTAATGGACAATCATGTACGATTTAATCTACTTTCTAAAATAATTGTACACTATAATAAATGATCCCGTACCTGCTAGAAGTTTAGCCGCGACTTAGGGTTCTTGTAAGGTGCAAAACAAAACAAGAATCGACGTGAACGACAACTGTAGCTTACGTAGAATGCTAATCGTGGATTATCATGCTAATTTTTCATTAAAATAAGAAAGAAATGAAAAAGAAAATGGTGCAGGGATTGAGTGGTGAATGATTCTGGATTAGTGTAGAAGAAAGAATATGGTAAATGAGATGGTAATGTTGTGTAGAAGGGAATTTGGAAGCGATGGGGTGGTATTATGGTGGTGGGGGGAGAAGTGGAGCACCGTATCTGAAGAAAGGAACGTAAGTCAATGGGAACAGGTAAAGTTGGTGGTAGAAGGGAACAAAGTAAGCAAAGAGTTGAAAATTGAAATGATAGGTTAGGGATAGATTAGATCGTGGTGCGATTTGCTAATTCATACACCTTCTATCAAGCATCTCTTCGATGCAAACCCTTTTTAAAAAAGGTGGAGAATTAACTCAAAATTAAGTAGAAGTATCATTTTTCTTCATAGCTTCCTTAGTGTTACTACCATTCCTCATTTTGTATCTAATAAGTTTATTTAATAATAAAGAATATGAAAAGGAGTGTATTATAAAAAATTAATGTCCAACATTCCTCTCTTACTGAATCTGTCTGTTGCTGAGAACAATTTTTGGATTGATATCTGCCAACTAGTAACAATGGAAAGTTCAACTTGCTGTAATGAAGAAGTATCGTTATTTAAAAACAATTAAAGGCAACTCCATTGTTCTTATTCTCATCTTCCACTTGCTTATGTTGTTGGTTACAAAGAGAAGGGGTCACAAGATCTTCTGCCCTTTTGGAAAATATATTCTGCCAAAAGATTCAATCTAACCAACAACACATCTCTTTCATGAGAAACCTTGGTGATCTCTTTCTCACATAATACCACCCTTCTTCACCAAAACAAACCATCATTTCACTCTTCTTTCTCTTTAGTAGGGTTTTAGCAACTGTTGTTTTTTTTCTCCTGATAAACACTTTACACTCTTCCAGAGAAATCCAATAATGTTGTGTTATTATTAATATACGTGTTTGGCAGGCTCGTGATAATTATATACGTCGAGAAGCTCAGAGTAGCAGAATAAATTATTTACCAGTGAATCCAAAAGGTGTTTGATGTTTATGTAAATTATTACGAATCTAACTCTTTCTACTTTAGGCTTTAAAAATATGATGTAACTGATGTATCTCAACCAATATATTTATTACTATTAGTTACAAGGAATACTAATAACTAATTGGCTATTATTGAACACTTATCAAATAATCTTTATTATTATGTGTTGTGACTCTGAACATCAACCCCGTAAGTTAGTGGAACAAAATAAAGACAGTTTAAAGTGCAATCAAACGAAATAATAAAGATTTAGGGTTCAAGTTAATTATGCAGGAGAAGCAATATTCCAATAGGATTCGTATTAAACCTGAAATCCTGGATAACAATTTTTAAAAATTGAGATAAAAATGTACGCAAATTATAAAAATGTAAGTTAAACTTATTTTTTAAATCCATTTAATGATTATTAATAATGTCTGTGTTGTTTTGATTGAAAAATTAGATATGATATATAATTTTAATTGTAATTGAGAAAATTTTCTACTTACAAATTGAACAATACTCTACTCGATCGCTTTTATGTTTTAAAATAGGTAAAGAGAATTAGTTATTGTCAAAAAAATCTTAAAATAAATATTTTGGTTACACTAATTCAAAGAGATGATATAAAATCAAACAATTTAGAAATTAAAATTTAAATAAATTCTTGTGTTCATGACATTTTGGTAGAATTAATTGGAGCAACTAGAAATAACATACTAGAAAATCTAATAATATTAAATTCATTTGATGTACACCTTTTTATTGTATATATAAACTATTTAATTTTTGGTTACTTTTCTCTAATTCTTAAAGTTAAAAAACGATACTTAAATTAGCATGTTACTATACATAAGTATGATAATAGATACTAATAATAAATGTTTTTATAAACAATTTTTTCAAAAATTTGAAATAAACATATTTTACATAGTGTATCACCTCATATATAATTAATTATATATAAAATAATTTCCTACAAAACAGAAAAAATGTAAAAGACAAAAATATAATAAGTAATTAATAAAAAATAGATATATTTTAAAAAATATTATATTTTAAAAGTTTAATTATAAAAAAAAGGCACATAACATATATCATGTACTTACTATATCTTAATAAAATCAATATGATCAATATTGGCTCACTAGGTACTGAACAATAAAAATTTGTTTACAATTTAAAAAATATTTTTTAACCAGTATATTTTGATATACTTCGTAAATATAAACAGATTAAATCAAAAATTAAATTTCATAAAAAAAAGGAAAGAAATATTTAGTCCACTAGAGTATAGTAATAAAAAAACGAAAAATAGTAATTAATATATTTAATTTTTATTAATCTGTACATTTTAATATAGAGCATATATAAATACTAAATTAAAATTAAGAAAATGTGTTTCAATCTTATTGCTATCTTACTTTAAATTTATTATTATACATTTTTATAATTTTGTATATGAATATAATATATATATATATATATATATATATATATATATATATATATCACTACAAGAAAATCGCGTATTACCGATGGATATTTACCGACGGATTTGTAGTCGTCGGAAAATAATCATTACCGACTGAAATTACCGACGGATATAAAATATTTGTGGAATTTGATGTTACAGACGGATATATCCGTCGGTAAAATAATAATTAGTTACCGACGGATATATCCGTCGATAAATCCGTCGGTAATTTATAGATGAATTTACCGACGGATATATCCGTCGGTAAATTCATATGTAAATTAACAATTATTTACCGACGGATAAATCCGTTGGTAAAATTATATAATATAATTTAATTATTCACCTAATTAAAAAATAAAATATTTTTTTATTTAATAATTTAATTTAATCATAATTAGCTTAATTTATAATAATTTATTAAATTAAATAATTTTAAAAAATAAATATTTAATTATATATAAATATATAAAAATATATAAATATATAAATATATAAATATATAAATATATAAATATGTAAATATGTAAATATATAAATATATAAATATGTAAATATGTAAATATATAAATATATAAATATATAAATATATATAAATATATATAAATATATATAAATATATATAAATATATATAAATGTATATAAATATATATAAATATATATAAATATATATAAATATATATAAATGTATATAAATATATTTGTATATTTGTATATAAATATAATTTATTTGTAAATTGTTATCAAGAAATTCTAGTACCTTAGTGGTTGGAGTATCGACTCTCGATTCTAAGATCTGGGTTCAATTCTGCTAATAACATTTCTTTTAATCTGACAATAATTCAAAGTTATAAAAATATAATATGATGAAATAATTAATAATAAATAATAAGAATATAAGGGAGAGGGGTTCTATAAATAAAATATGTTATAAATAAGTAATATATTTAATAAATAATAAAATTATTACCGACGGATAAATCCATCGATAATTTCAGTAACACATTTACCGATCGGATAAATCCGTCTGGTAATATTTACCGACAACCAAATTTCCGACGGATTTTTAGCCATCGGAATTTCGTCGGTAATATTCATTTACCGACGGATTTTGACCGTCGGTAATTTTAATATTTCTTGTAGTGTATATATATATATATATTATAATTAAATTATTTTTATTTTAAATTATTTAATTTTTTAATACTAATTTATTTCGACAAGAAAATTTAATATTATTGTAATTTTTTATATGATTTAGATTAGATCAACTACATCACAATATAATAAATTATTAATAAAGTTTAGTTGAGATAGATGGATAAAAAAGACGAAGTTAATAGAGCAAAATAATGTCAAGATGAAATGAATAAAGTTGTGTCAAAACAAGACCCATTGTATTGTATTAGGTCAATATAAGTTACATAATGTAAAACAAGTTGAGTTGAGTTAGATGAAACGGGGTCAAGATGAGCGAAGTTAAATCATAATCAAAGAAGATGGGTTAAAATGAGATAAATTGGGTCATGTAAAAAAAAAAAAAAACGTATCGGATTAAGAAAGATTAGATCAATCGATATTGGTTGGATGATATCATATCAAATTGAAACGAGTTAGTGAAATCAAAATGGAATAGACAAAATTGATAGTAATTAAATCGAGATGAGTTGAATATAATTAAAATGTGTTAAATTTAAGCAAACTGAGTTAAATTAGTCAAATCAAATTATGATAAATTAAGTTTGATAAGATTAAATTTGAGCGATTATGTTATATTTATTTCAATCAAATAATTTAAAAAGAAGTCAATTAAATCCATTGAGACTAAATTAAAAAAAATAAAATAAACTATACATAAATTAAAAACATATATAAAAAACTTCAAATTCTTTATTGAAATTTGAAATTCTAACTTTAAATAAATAAATAATTTTCATAATTTTTTTATAATTTTATTTTTTTAATTATTATAAGTCAATTTTATCATAAAACATTTAAAATTATCTATTAACATGCAACCTTAAAAATAAAATAATAAATTTAATTATATTGAATTAAATTATAACTCAACCACTGAAAATACAGGATATTTAAATTAAGTTGTATGAATATAGATTTATGAGACTTTAATCTATAGTTATTATAATGAAACTGAATCGATTGTTTTAAAATAGGTGGGATAGGTTTCAAAATGAGTTTGTTAATTTTTAAAAATCAATATATAATGGAATCTAAAAGAATGAAGAAAGATTAGAAAAAAAAAATGAATAAAATTGGTGAAGTTATTTTCAAACAAAGATTTATAAATTAGGCCCAGTGGGATGAGGAATTAATTGACAGCCTCTGCAGTAGCTTCTAGCGTCCCTCCTGTCCTTGTCAACCAAAATCCAATTCCAATCTTCTCTCCCAAAACAAAACTTCTCTCAACAAATCATACCTCTGAATTTCCAGACAGCATATACTTCACCTATATAAAGACAACCAATTTGCCTTTTAATTAACCTTCATCCCTTTCCATCATTCATTTTTTTAATCATTTTTATTCCCTTTCGTGCTTTTTATTACTTCATTTTTTTCTTTTAACAAAACGCCAATTCTTTTATCAGAATATTATCTTCTGAGAATAAATCCCACTTTAAGATGGAATACATCACTTAGGAGACATTCATAGGCTTAAGTTTGACCTCATCATCTGCATAAAAACTTATTATATATATATATATAGAGAAAGAGAAGAGAATAGTAATATTTTCTACAAACTTTATAGGGGATATCGAAAGAATTTATTTTTATCAATAAAAAAAGGGTTATAAAATTGAAATATTATAAAGAAAAATGTGATTAAATAATAAGAGATACTCAAAGCAAAAGACAGAATTTATAAAAGTATGATAAAATATTTGTTATTTTCGTTTGGCAATAGGCAATGCTACGTTACTTCATTTTCAAAAGGAGGTGCCCCAGATATGCAAAAGAAAATAAGGAACTTTGTTATAACCACCCATTAGATGCATATCTAATTTTGGTAGAATAAGAAAAATAAATATATAGTAGGAAAATAAGATAGTGGAAGAATAAAATTAAGGTGAAGTATAAGTATATACTCGTTAACAAGACTGATAGTTTTTATGTGAAAAGAAGCAGCAGAAGACGACAAATTCAATTATTGGTCCCATAATCTTCAAAGATGTAAAGTGGCCCAGGCGTACCCATCCACTCAAACATGTATTTATTCGCTTCTAATTCGAGTTGAGGCAAAGACATTGAAATTGGTTAGCATAAGTACGAACAATGCTTTGTATATAGTATATAATAGTATATTATTTAATGAACCAGAAAAATATAACTGGTTACATACCCGTGCATGAATTGCTGATTAAGTTTGACATATATCCATTTTCGTGTATTTTTCCCTGGCTCACCTCTCATAAAATAAAAAATACCAGAATTCTGGACTTACAATTTTCACCGGGTAGGTGGAATCGTAAATAAAGAAAATAGGTTTTCGGATATAAAAGATAAAGTTAGGATCTTCAAATTAATGTCTTGAATTTTAAGTTGGGTTAAAAATTGATATATGAATCGAGAGGTGGACAGAAGAAATTCGATGATTAGATTGAGATAAAAAAATTGATAAAATTAAAGTATAGAGTGTAAAACTAAAGTTAGAGGAGAAAATTAAAGGATATCAGAGATATTATAAAGTTTAAGTATTAGATTTTTGGGATCGAAATTGAAGAAAACAGTTATCTTTGCACATGAGGTAATGGTTTTTTAACCGTTTTAGGTGGTTATGTTAAGTAGGTTATAAATAGAACTAAACACTGGAGGTTAAGGGAGATCATTTTGATATCATAAATTTCTGGTACAAGTCTACGAAAAAATGACAACCATCATGAAATTTTTTTAGCAATATGGGTTTCCGCTTTTATCGATTTTTGTTAGCGCTTTCATTAATCTTTGTTACCGCTTTCGTATTTTCCTTGATAATTTATTTATATGTAATTTAAATTTGTGTATCACTTCTTTGTTTCATTGTTTATTTGTCTTTCTGTATTTACTTAAAGTTAATTTAATCACAAAGTTTCATGTAGTTATTTCCCTTTTATTTTTTATCTTTTTCTAATTTGTATGTATTCACATATTTCTAAATTTACATAACCTTTCATTTTGTATCGTTTACTTTTAATTTTACTTTTGTCTATTCTAATATCTCAAGTTTCTTAATAATAAAACTAAAAAAAATTGTTTTTAAATTAATAAATATAATTTATTTATCTATTGTTATTGAACAACTTTTCTTTCAATTAGATATAATCATTTATTTCAGTAACAACGATATTTGTATGCTTTTAAATTCATTTTTAATGTTTTATACTTAAATTTATCACCTCTTACGTTTTGATTAAAAAAATTTATTTGTTAGTTTTTAAGATTAAAAAAATTTATTTGTTAATCTAAATAAAAAAGAACTCACACTGATTAAAAATTAATTAAAACTTATAGACTTTGAAAATCAAAATAAAACCAAATTTCAAAACCAAATTTCACCAGTAATAATTACATTATTATTACTTGATTGATTTCTGATTAAAAATCACCCTTGTTATGAATTTTCCAAATATATAACACTATCTTGAAAATAACGTATACAGTAGGGAAAAAAGTTTACAAAATACAGCTAAGCCTAAATGAAAAGAACTCATGCCTAACATCTAACGTAAATACATGTCATAATCAAGCGTGTGAATTGACTAGTAGTTTACTTAGCTATTTCAAATTTAAATCATGTGCATGATTAAAAAAAACACTTACTTTTTTTTACCATTTATAACATTTGTGTCGAGGCTCAACTGGATTAGTCTTGGTCGCATTCCATAGAAGATATATATGTGGTGTAGAACAAAACTTGGATATATCTGACATTATAATGTGTACGTACGACATGATGATATTTTTCAGTTGTTTGAACTTGCTCGTGCTGGTTTGATTGTGGCAGAGTAAAACTGTAGACAGTAACTGAGTGAGGAAGTGGTAAATGGAAAGGAAAGTCCACTTGCTAAAGAGCTGAAGGAAATGGTAAGAAGCATCTTTGTTTAAAACGTTTAAAGGATTGCCTTTTAATCGTGATTCTCCTCCTCCACTTGTTTGTCCATTGTCCCTCTTCACTTGTGGTTCTTAAGGGGACGGGTCACTTTATCTCCAGTGTCCTTTTGGGAGATATATTCCTCCACCAGGTTCAAACCCCCACACACCACCACCACCTTTTCTCCTACTTATAAGGAGCTACGTTGGTCACCTCTTTCCCATGCCTCCTCTTCATTCCCTTCACCAAAACATTGTATAATCGTTCTTTTCTTACCCTTCTGCCCTCCCTCACTGCCTCTTAATTTGCTTAGTGAATACAAAACTAAGGTTACCCACCCAATGGCATCGTCTTGGACTCATAGGCAGAACAAATTGTTTGAACAAGCCCTGGCTTTATATGACAGGGAAACCCCTGACAGATGGCAGAATGTTGCCAATGTGGTGGGAAGATCAGTAGAGGAGGTCAAAAGGCACTACGAGATCCTCAAAGAAGATGTCAAACGCATTGAACATGGCCAAGTACCCTTTCCTCGTTACAAAACCAACAGCAGCAGCAACTAAGGCATTGGCAAACAACAACACAGGTGAGTGAGTGAGTGACAGGTTTGTCTGAAAACAATATATTTTTCATACAAAAGAATTATCTATAAGCACCCCAATGCAGTTTAGCTTTAACGTTGTTAGAAAGTTATACAGCATTCTTCAATAACATGCCATGTGATTTGACCATATCTCTTACTCAAGTTTATCATAATACAGTCCTACTAGTATTTGCACTATTGTTGTCGTGAGCTATTTCCTACATGCTGCGGGGCCCATGGAATGAGATGAGAATTTTTGAAATAGAAAGCCCTGAAGGTGAAATAATGCTGGTTTTATGTGGTCCATTTGTTTTCATTAGCTGATGGCCAAGTTATCTTGTACACCCAAGTACTTCAATAATGCCTTTTCGTCTGCACTTGATAATCAAAATATCATGCTCTAAGCTCTGTGGAAAGTTCTAATCCTATCGGGTCCATTGCTTGATACATAACTCATTAATGGCCCTACGTAACCGCCATGTGCTTTGAACCAAAGGGCAACGCAAAAAGACAAACCATAATGAAGAACAACAACAACCATGTGATTTGACATAGAAAGCTCCGGTTTTCTGTCTGAGATCTCAAATGAGTATCTTGTGTGTGCACAATCAATGCCTAATAAAGTTTCACCCCTTTGTTTTCCAAGCGTGGACCCTTTTGCTTTTCTACGTTTTAAATTTGTCTACATTTCTACATGTTCTTTGTATGTAACCATTTTTCTGTTGACTAATAATATTTCTTTTTCCACCATATTTGCAGGTTCTTCAAGATCCTGAGGCCGCTAAGTATGAATACCCGTTAGCATTGTCTTGAATAAATAGGGAATAGTGTATTTGCAGCAGCAAGCTGTGAAACAATCTAATTGCACCGTACCAAGTGATTCCATCTTCTTCCCTGTTTCCCTCCTTTGTACACTAAGTTTCGTTTATCCATGATGTATGCTCAAGTGAATATTGTATTCAAAGAAATTTAGTTATCGTATGTTGGTGAAGATTACATGTTAGTCTAATTTTTAATATATGAAAAAGTGATTATAGCAACTTTATTTAAATGCCAAATGAGTTAGTACGATTGAAATTGGGGAATTGGATTCCCTAATCACGGAGTCCAGCATCTCACTCTAGTATTCTGGAGTATGAAAAAGTGGTTTTCATCGTCTAAATGTATTTCAGAAAAAAATAGTCTCCAACAACTCACTAAGACAATGTTCAAGAATGGAAAATTATGTAGAGGGAAATATAAGTATAGAGGAAAAAAAAAAAAAAAAGAGCTCTAGAATTTTTTCATAAAAACTTCTCAATGAGCGCAAATAAAAAATCTCGACTATGAAAATCTTCATTAATGTGAGAATTCAAGAGATCCCCTACGAATTTTCCCAGCTTCCTCTCTCTGTGAGGTATGGCATTACATTAAAGAATGTTCCATTGTTTATTGCAAGGATGTATGTGGGGGCTGCGGGTTTAAATAAATCCCCTTTGAATTCATATAAATTAAAGAAAAATGATATTTTGAAAACTCCAAAACATACCATTTTAAAAAACAACTCATTTTTAATATTATAATAATATTTTTAAATTATTTTTATTTCATTTTATCTTTTTATCATTATTATATTAAAGTTCTTTTAGAGGTTGTTTTTCATTTAGTTGTCAACATATCATGATCCTTAATTAAAACTGATATGATATTATCATATTTCGATCTTTTTTAATTTTTTTATATAAATCTCTTTCATATAACATATTTTTAAATTTATTAACAAATAAATCATAAAGTTATAATTAAATACGTAAATGGCATTATAATAATAAAATGGATAGTATCACGTATATAACAACTTTTAAAAAAATTATAACACAATTATTTTAATTTTAAAATACATAAAAAAAGTTATGTGGGTTGTGGGAGCTAAATAAGTTATATGTGGTGATGATAGTGCATTAATTAAATTGTTTGATTTTAGAATTTTTTTATAAATTATTTAATTAATATTGTCTTACATTAAGAAAAGATTCTTATATATTTATTATTCGGTTTAATAGCGGGGTAACACGATAATCTTGCTGCTAACATACTAACTGAATTAGGCACTTAATTATTTATAATAATAGTTAGACAAAACAAATACAAGTTTAAGCATCCAATTGAAAATATAATAATTCAAATACTCTATTAAAAACTGTCAAATAGTTTAAAGATCAATTGAATAATTTAACATAAATTAAATAGTTATTATCTTTTTTTTCAATTTTAATATATGATTAGTTAATATCACGAATATTATAAATGTATTAATAATATAAAAATATAAATTATTTTGAAATGCACTATATTTTAGTAAATATACTTTATATTTAACTTTTTAAATCTAATAAATTTTGTTAGTAAATATACTATATTTTTTAGCCTTATATTTCTTATGCATAAACTCAATGGATGAAATTTAAATATTAATTACGGTAATTAGATTTGCATCATAAATTAAAGAGATTTTTCTGTTAATTTAATGTAAAGACATGAGAGATATGGCATAAAATATGGACTCAATTAACACAGTGATCGAATAGTTTATCTTTTATTAAGTTGAATTCGATTTTATGTAATATAAAGCATGTTGAACATATTTCGTTTTTGAATTTTATATTTGCACGCGATAATAAATAAGTACAAAACACAGAATAACCATGAAGAACAATTTGTATGAAAAAACGTGTCACAGACATACATTGTTTTTATGAAAATGTTAGTATTAGTATAGTTACATTAATCAAATAATTCAAATCACAAGTTTAAATTTATAATACAAATAGTTTTTAAATAATTTAGATATGATGACGATAGTTTAAAGAACGAAAATATCTGGATGTATGTTGGGTTCAGTTTGAAAGTAATTAATTTTGAAAATGAAATTTGGAACAAATGACTGAAATGTTGAACAGTGAGATTATGTTTGAAAGAGTAAAAAATGAATAACCACAAACAAAATAACGGAATTCCGTAAAAGATTCATCTCCACAAGAACAAACAAAGTCTTCATCTTCAACGTCATGCATGTTCTTTGGGTTATTTGCGTGGCTGAGGACCCGGGCTTCGCCAGAAAACCAACCGTTAAAGCGATCAAAATGCAACCTATTTCTCACTAGACACACATATAAATACACCCTTCAGCAAATCAATTTCACAGCAACAAACAAAACAAACACAATAAACACAATAAAACCCAAGCTTCAAAATAAATTTCAAGAGCAAAAAGATGAACACCCTAAACATGAAGTTCGTTGTCGTGGTGATCTGCCTTGCCGTCTGCATCGGAACGACCTGGTGCGACGTGATCGACAGCGCCAAAGCCACGGCAGGGGAGGTCAAGGACGCCACCGCCCCAACTTTGGAAGCTGCCAAGGACACCGCCGCTTCAACCGCCAAAGCTGCCAAGGACACCGCCGCTTCAACCGCCCAAGCTGCCAAGGACGCCGCCACACCTGCTGTTGATGCCGCCACTCCCACAGTTGAAGCTGCCGCCGAAAAGTCTGAGTCTTTTGCTCAATGGGCTTACGATAAAATTTCCAGGTAATCTTCTCTCTCACTCTCTCATGCTTCAGTTTTCAAATTTTTAAAAATTAATATTAATTACTCCAAATCAAGTATCCTTAATTACATTGCTAGTTTTGAATATGTTGGTTTGTGTTTATTTGTTGACTGATGAGTTTACAATTATTTTGACAGTGGTTTCGGGATGAAAGGTGAAAATAAGCCAAATGCAGAAGAAAATTCCAAGAACTAAAATAGGTTATGAAGAACTTCCTCTATGTTAACGGGAAGTTTTAGCAATGCATCGAACGTTACATTAGAATCAGTGTAACGAGTCAGTATTGATTTATTTATTTTTCTTTTTCTTGGCAATAGGCGAAAGGGTGGTTGGTCTCAGATTCCTTTTGTTACAACAACTTTGCCCTTTCCTTAGTTCCCATGTTGCACTGGTTTGGTCACTTGGGTGCCACAACTTTGATATAATAAACATTCATTTTTGTTATGTTCTTGTTTTCTCTTCCATCTTATGTTATCTTTCATACGCTTTTTATTCATTTGATTTCTTTGCTATTATTTAATGCATGAAGCCAACAAATACTAGTTAAAATTTTATAACCATTATTAACCAATCCTTTAAGAGTAACTCTTTCCTAACTTTTCCTATAAACCTTCAATCCAAAAGAGAAATTTAACATTAAACCCGTTTTAATAGCAGTTAATTGTTTTCAGGCATTCAGTGGCAGAAATTATTATATATAGTTTCGTACTCTTATATATTTAAAAAATAAGTATTAATTTATTATTTTAAATATTAAATAAACATGATAAAAAAAATTAGTTTTTATCCTTTTTAATAATAATAAAAAATCATAATTATTAAATAAAAATGTTAACAATTAAAGTATTGATTAAAAATGAAAGTTTACGCTTCAATTTCAGAAACCCAATTACAACTCTTACCTCAAACACTTTTTATTTATTTCCGCTTTCAGCAATATTTTCACTTATTCAATCAAACAAGTTTGCAAGAAAATAAGTAACAATAAATCAGAAAGAAAAAGAAACTTGACGAATGCACCACTAAGCCATGGCTTCAAATTAAACTAATTAGATGAAAACTTTTAAATTAGTCATAGAGGTGCTCAAACCATGAATTAATTGTCTCGTATCGTGAAGAGAAAATACAAACTTAAGACAATAATTTTGAGCATAAAATGAGTTTAATGCAAGCTCAATTCTTTGTATTTGTTCTATAGAACAAAAAAATGGTACGGCTTTCAACTAGTGTTGATACAGTGAAAACCTGTTTTTGACTAAGATTTAGAGGATTTTGTTTTATTGAGTTGTTTCCTTGAGATCCATATTTGGACAGTAACCTATCATGGACACCACAATACTCAAGATGCATTTATGGGTTAGAGTTTATTTGGGTAGATTACGTACTTTTTTTTATCGTATTTCATTTTGAGACAATAAATTTACGATTTTTTATTCTTTTATGTTTTTTAAGTTATTAGGACGTATTTCGTATGAGTTTCTTTTTATTTTTCAAAATATCAAATATGAATTTGTTATGTCATGTTAAGTTTAAGTAACTCAATTTTATTCTAATAATTTTTTTAATAAATTTAAAAAACTTATTTTTGTTTTGGTTTATTTTTTAAAATTGTTTAATAAAACAACTATAAAAAAATTAACCAATTTATCATATTACATTGGATTTCTAGAATGAAAAATTGTTTGAAGTAATTAATGTTTGACTTAAACATCTTAAAAAAATTCTCATGAGGTCTTCTTATAGTGATTATTAGATTTTTAATTCTGGTGAAGATATAATGCTTATGGGAATTAATGTTCTTAGGCATAAACATTTTTTTTTCTCATCAAATATCTAAAAACATTTTTTTTCATCAAAATGTCATATATTTTGAAACAAATTGAATATAAGGCTAGTCTCGGATCAATTAATGAGATTCTCATTTCAAGGGAAGAAACACATAATTGTAATTAAAGAAATCAACATAAATACTTAAGGAAATTAGTACTAACGGTATTTAAACACTACTACAAATAAAGTTTTTAACGTCGGTTCTGGAAGGCTTTCAACGTCAACACCCTCTTTTAATTATCTAGAAGTCTCCCTCTCTTTATATTATATTTTTATTAGGTCCTCCATCTCTTTATATTATATTTTTTAGAAGTTTATTAATTTTTTAAGAGAATTGTCATCGTAGGATTCAAACCCAAGTACTTTAGAGTTGGAGGTCGATACTCCAACCACTAAACTACTAGAATTTTCTCGATAATAACTTACAAATAAATTATATTTATATACAAATAAATATATATTCGTGTAAATATATAAATATATAAATACAAATATATTTATATATTTTGATATATTTATATAGTTATATATTTATATATTGGATGTGAGGGCACACTCGAAAGTGAAAGTGTGTGTCGAGTGGGTTTTCAAAATTTGATGCTAAATTTGTGAGCAGGTATCTTTATATGAGTTTGTAATTTAATGACAAAATATAATCTTTATAATTTTATTTATATAATGATATAAAATAAATTTGGGAAACGTGTTATTTGCTCTCAAGCGAAAAATACCAATTTTCACTCAAGCGAGACTTGAGTAAGTGAATTTCAGTGAGCTTTAACATATTTTCACTCAAGCAAGAGTCAATCACACTTTCACCCTCGATCGAAAAATACCAATATAATTTATTTGTAAGTTATTATCAAAAAATTATAGTAGTTTAGTGGTTGGGATATTAACTTTCAACCCTAAAATACTGGGTTCAAATGCTATTAGTGACAATTTATTAACTTAAGAGAATTGTTGGCTGAAAATAAAAATAAAAATACTTTCCAGAAAATATATACAAATAAATATATATTTACATGGATATATATTTATTTGTATATAAATATAATTTATTTGTAAGTTATTATCGAGAAAATTTTAGTAGCTTAGTGGTTGGAGTATCGATCACTAACTCTAAAGTATCGAGTTTGAATCCTAGCTGATCACAATTTTCAAATTTAAGTGAGTTTTTGGGTGAAAAAAAAAAAAAAAGACTTTCCACGTCGGTTCATATGGGAACCGACGTGGAAAGCGTCAATAAGTAAAAAATAATAATAAAAAAAGACTTTCAACGTCGGTTTATATGGAACCGAGCGTAGAAAGTACTTTCTACGTCGGTTGACTAAGAACCGACGTAAAATGTGTTTAATATTCAACTTTCAACGTCGGTTCATCCGGGAACCGACGTGGAAAGTACTTTTACGTCGTCTCAGCTATTTCTACGTCGGTTGACTAAAACCGACGTAGAATGTGTTTAATATTCAACTTTCAACGTCGGTTCATCCGGGAACCGATGTGGAAAATACTTTCTACGTCGTCTCAGCCTATAACCGACGTTAAATGACGACGTAGAAAGTATATTTTGTAGTAGTGAAAATTTAATGATATTTGGAATTGAAGAAAACATTATTTATTAATATATATATATATATATATATATATATATATATATATATATATATTTAAAGATAAATGAGAGTATAGTTATGTTTTTCATTTTGTACATATTATTTGCAATTAATAATTTTAGTTTTCTTCGTAAAATTAGTAAGTTTTTTTAATAACTTTGAAATAAATATATGAATGAAACAAGTTATGTGAAAAAAAATATTTTGAAATATATTAGAAGGAATGTTATATTTATCTCATAAAATTTTAAAGATATTTAAGATGGAAAAAATGTTTAACATCACCATTTCTAATTCAAAGAAGATATAAGTTTAGTATCACTCAATACTTTAAGAATGATTTGAAAAATAATTTGTATACATATTTTGTTAGAAACATTATATATGTGTGCTTATATGTGTTTTGACCATTAATAAGTTTTGTAACTAGAATGTTAAGAAGAAATCAAAGAAATATAATAATGAAACATTGAAAAGTTATAAATAAGATTTTTTAGATATTTACAAAAAAATAAAAAATCACATATTGCATATAAAAAATATGAACATATTGAGGTGATTAAATATTTAGACTTTGATTTTACTATTCGTGTAGATATAAGAAAATTTACTATTGACTATATGTATTTCTTTTAACCAAATGAATAATATCATGAAAAGACATAAACTTTATATAATGTTTTGAGTTACCATCTAAGTTAATTGACTGCAAAACTTTATTTTAAAGTTTAAAATTGGAAAAATATTGTCAAGTCGTTAAAATTATCGTAATAATGTTTTCTTTAAACGTGACAAGCTTTCTAAATATGTTAATTATATGAGATTGAAATAAAGATTTTCAATAAAACATATTAGTACAAGAATTAAGATAAGATAGTTACCTTTAGAGGAATTATCATCCGAAATATTTATTAAACATATTAAATATATAACTATGATTGTTAAAAATAATTATTAAATATTATGTTTATTAAGTATTAAATAATTGATACTATAAGTTCAATTATATTGTTATGTATATTAAAATAGTGTATCAAGTATTATCTTAAATAATGATATTATAGTTAATTAATTATGAGATCCGGTTATGTTTATATTAATAAAAAGTGTAATTTGTGGTATATGGAAGAGAATATCTTAACATATAAAATTTGTGATATTCTTAATTATGACATTATAATATACCTAATATAAAAAATGATTTAATAAATTTAATGTGTAATATAGTTGTTTAATTTATTTACTATTATATATATATATATATATATATATATATATATATATATATATATATATATAATACTTTCGTAATCTTTTCGTATATCTATTATTGTATTTATTCATTCTTACGTATGCAACATTTGGTGTGTTGTGATTCCAGTCTTGGGCACATTTGAGTGATCGAGAACAGTTTGATAGATTTGTATATTTATAAAATATTGTTCTGGATAGATCCATCAATCTTAAATATTTTTTATTCATCGATCCAAAACCTATATTTTTTCTTCAAGATCAGTTACTTGGAAATATATTTTCGGATTATGAATTCTATAAATTTTTCACCATCTATTTTCTCACGATCAAATAAAATTTATAAAATTATTATTGTCTTCTTAAAAGGTAGGTGTGGACGTAGATAAAATTTGTTTGTGCAGCCCACTACCTTATGTCGTAGCCTGTGTATGTAAAAACAAGGTGGGTTCTGTTATTGCCACCTCCATCTTTGTTATGGACACCCCAGAAAGGTTGGTACTATTTACTTTCAAAAGAAAAGCACACACAATGAAAAACATGTTTCAATTATCTATTCAAGCAATCCTTGTGTATTATGAGTTCAAATAAGTTTTCATAGTGATTAGGAACAGAAAAATGTCTCATCGTAAAGTGCAAATCACTCAATAACACATAATAAAAATAGGTTTCTATTGTATCTTTAATTTCGTATACACCAGAAAATTTGTTTGTGTTGCGTTTTATCATTTTGCACCCCGTACTCCATAATGAAAGTGTAACATGAATGCAACAATCGAGCATAGTGTTAACGCTCAAATAACTGAGTGAAAATTAACAATATTGTGAGAAAAAAATGTGTAAGAAATTTAATATCAATGCATTCGAATAGAATATTCATTATATATATATATATATATATATATATATTATAATTAATCTCTATTAAGATCAACATATTCATATTGTGATGGAAAAATGAAGAATTGAAAGTTCCCATTACCTGAAATTCTCATAACAAAGTGAGGGCACCATTTCAAAAAAAAAAACAGACAGATAGTAATAAAATCAATGAGTTATTTACATCCATGAAAATAACATAAGAGATAATTATATATATACCTACGTAGTGGAACATCTGGTGTATATATAACATGAATATAGTTTTAGTTTTGTATTTTACTAACCATAATTTGATTTTATTTTCAAAATAGAAATATTTAGGTGTTTACATTTTTAAAGTTAGTAATTTTAATTATACGGTATAATTAAATTTTTATTTTATAGATATTAATGTTAACTCACGTGTTACGTGTAGTTCATTTGTTGTCACAAAAATAAAAAAGTTATATAATTAGTTAAAGTCAAAATAATTTTAATCATCTTAGAATGAAGAAATAATGTTACAAAAATATTAGTTACACCCTAAATTCTAAATCTTAAATTTATGAGAGATTGTAAATAATTGAAAGGTGTGTTAAACAAATCCATACACAGCTTTGGTAAAGCGTACCGGTGAAGGTTTTTGGGATGGAAGGGTTATGCGGTCCTAAACTTTTGATTTTATTTATATATTTTTATCTTTAGTTATTTTTAAATTTAACTATCATTAAATATATTTAATTATATATTCATAATTTCGATTTTATTTAAATTTTTCATAAATATTAAAATAAATGATTAAATATTTAACATTCTCTAAAAAAACCATGTTATTGCTTATTACGCGTATGTCATTTGAGGAGCCATTTACTTATGGAAAAGAACGGGACGGGAGGTAAAACTTGGACGATTATCATGCACACTGTTGTGGCTATGGAGCTTGTCAAATATACAAAAATATCCTTGCTTACATATAACATTAACTACCATCAATATGTTTAAATGTATTCAAATTGAGAGCGTTATTGAAGTATATATTTTGGATCGTGGTTTCCATTATTAGGAAACAATGACAACATTCCTACAATGACTACTCACACTGCATTTATCTAAGTCCATGGTTCGTGCTGCTGGAAGCCAAAGTTGAAGTTTTCTTCGGAACTTAATTATGTTTGTCATTGTTCTACATATATCTCAGATATCAGTACCCTAGTTTTTGTTATTATTTGTGTCACGTTTACGTATTTTTCTCTTTTGCTTACTTTTCTACTCTTTGAGGCGCCATGCACCCGAGTGAGGCCTTCCACACGTCTCATGTACAATCATCTTCTTCAGTAAATAGTTTTTTTTTTAATTATATATAAATAATTATTTTTGTTTTTTTGAACCAGTATAAAAAAGCCAAAGAATTGTTGGGCCACTCCATAGTTCTTTTTTTGTTGCTACTGTGTGTGAGAATCTTATTGGTCTCTCTCTCTCTCTACTAGAGCCTGTTGGTGGCATTATGCGCCTACTTCTGCAGAAATATCTTGTCACGGAGAAGAATCGTGTTGCACTTAGGTACATACAACATAGTATATATATACGTATAAAAAAGCGTGAAATCTGTGTCCTTCTACTCTCCCTGCTACTTTTTTTTCTTTTTTCTCTTTTCTTTTTTCACTTTGGTTATGTCATGATTTTATTCGTGTAGACCATACATACATTCAATACCTCAGAAAGGCATTTTGAGAAAAGAGCGGGTATTGTCTCCAAATTCATCTGTCGGTGTCCTATTACAGGACAAATTTGACAAAATTGTGTGGTTGGGTGGATGTGGTGGTGGGATCCTATTTTCTCCAAAGCCCTCATCTTCGATTTGCAAGAAAAGTGAATGGATTCACGAACCGAGCCTTCCATGATTATCAAACAGCCAAGTACCTCCCAGGATAATGCATGAAAAACACACATTCTCATACCCAGCTTAAGTTATTAATGCTTATAACCTAATATATATCCAACTTTCATGCATAACCTCTATCTATTTCTTCATTCTTTTTATTCTATTATCTATTGTCTACCAAAAAGCAAGAGGTGAGAAAATGTAACTGATGATATTTTCGTTGTTGCGTGTGTTTATATAAATCAAAAGGACACAGCACATACGATTGCAGATTGAAATTGAATGGTTAATTTAATTAATAACTTACCGATGAGAATTCAGAATAGCGTAGCAGCTTTCAACTGACGTATCTAGCTAGCTTAGCTACCTATTTGCTTATATGTAATAGTATTCACATCTAAGATTTTAAAGTCTTCAGCAGTGTTTTTATCAAACACACAATTTTTTTATAAAAATAAAATCAACAATCTAAAAGTGATGGAATTGATTAATCTAGACTTACATTTGCTTCTTTTTCATGGCTTGCTTGCTGTTGTGCATCCAAACCTTGAAAACCTGTCTTTTTACACCAACCTGAGAGCAAAATTGATGCAGTTCCTGTTCATCTTGTTTCTGGATCTTCCACCCCAGTTTCTCAGCAAACTCCATCATCTTATCCTTTTGTTGCTGTGAGAACTTGGTCCTGAACCGCTTCTTGGATGATGACAGTGGTGGCTGCACTGATAACAATTGCCCTCCATCATCTGTCTGAAACATGTTGAGATCTTCACTTGAAGACTCAGCTAGGCCTCCCCCAAAGCCCAACATCGCGGGCTGAACCGGCCCACCTGAAGGGGTGGCCATCATCCCATGATGGTGGTGTGTAGGAAACTGAAGATGAGATTGTGGAGAATGAATAACAATGTTTCTATTGGTTTTGTTGGGGTAAGTGAGGTAGTAGTTGAGAACATGTGATGACTCGCCTTCAGGTTCTTTTCTGTGGAAATTGCGGTGGCACTCACAAGCTGCACACTTGAAGGATTCTGGGGTACCCTCTACTCCATTTGGCATGAACTCTCCACAACCATCTGTGACATGCCCCCCCATGCTTGCAGCATGATTCTTCAGACATTCTCCATATCTGAATGTTGTTGTGAAAGTTCCTATCGAGTGTGGTTGTGTTCTTGGGGTACTTATGATAGGAGGAGAGATAGGACTTGGATCTGGATCTCTTCTGGGTCTGTGAGGGTGTGAAAGTTGAAGTGGATTTTGTGGAAGTGAATTATGGGGGTTGAGATGTTGGTGATGATGTGAAGTTGTTTGGGGTGGATCACTGAAAACCAATGTGTGAGATTGAGGAGGTTGGTTACTTCTTTCCCCTATTGGTGAGGATATCTTAGAAGAAGATGAATTTCTACTGGGGAGGTTATAACCCAAAGTGCTAGGCATCTCTATTACCTTATCTTGCTCACTCATATCCATCAAATCTGACTTTTAATAAAGAAGGCCAAGATCTAAACTTAATCTCATTCCTCTATTTTAGTTTTCTTTTAATCTAATCTAATCTAATCTAACCTTTTCCTTGAGTAATGATCATCGTCTCGCTCGTGAATTTTCTTTAGTTGTGATAGTGGATCATCCTGTAGTGTGTTCAACCCTAATTCATCCCCTCTAATTAAATAGCAGACTTAATCGAAGGTGACTTGTACACCAACAACACTGTTCTTTCCTGTGCTCATTTCGATATTGACGTTCTGTGTGCTGAACCTACCGATTGAAGCTCACTAGTCAATGCTAATAACACTATTAACCGTATATAATACCACTAGCACTAGCACGGGAAAAGTGGAAACAAAGTAGTAAGAGTACAATTTTCGTGAAAAAGAAAAATCCTAAGAAGAGAGAGAGGACAAAATAATCTGTAATACTGTTGGAAATTTAAGTAAGGTAGATGAGCCTATGAACTGGGTCCCTAGGGAGCCTCAGTTAAGGCACACCTTGGAAGCTAAATAAGACTTAAGATTCTGAAGTGCAGAAAGCTTAATTGCACCAGCAAAAGCTTGAGGAGAGAGAGAACACCTGGAAATTAAGGAGTATCAAGTTTTGACAGAGAATAAGAGAGGCAAGTGGGAACTGAATGTTAATTTATGAGATGGGAACAGAAGGTTTTGTTTCCTATCATCCATCAAGCAGCATAAAATCACCTAAAAAAGGAACAGTGGGGTTGTTTTGCACTCACAGAGAGTGATGACTACACTGCAAGTTTTGTCTTGCAGAACAACCGACAAGAGGTCATGTTGTTTCTCTATCTCTCCCACACCCTGCACGCTGGTCCAGTTCCTAATAATTGCCTTTCTGAGCCACTCTTTCAAACCCTAAGCCAAACCCTCGTCGAATCAAATTTTGAATGTGTGCTCCATACATAGCGTAAAAGGGCAATGCTAGAGAGATTTTACCAGGAATTTTCGCGTAACCAAAGCCTTGCATTAGGATTAAGCTGTTCAATTCTTATTACATGCAAATTGCAGGTAAAAGACCAAATTTTTTATTCCTATCACTACGTTGACTAAACAGAGATATAATAAGTCATATTATAAATAGACATAAATGGATAATAGGTAAAATACATTTTTCTTTCCTCATTTCGTTCAATTTAGTTTTAGAAAAAATATTTTCTTACATTCAATTTTTCCAAACATTTCATACAAAATTTTAAAATATTATTTTTCTTATTGACATACGAGAATAAAATAAAACAAATAAATAATAATATAAAATTTAAAAATAAATTATTGAATCAAAGAATAAAATAAATTAGATAAATAATAATCTAAAAATCTAAAAATGAATTATTAAATCGATGTTTAAAAGTGGATTGTAAAATTGTCATCACTTTTAGTTTTATTTTCAAATTAGTATGTTAAATTAAGTTGAATATTTGGTTAGTTTTTTTTAATAAAATTACTAAGTACTGCTTTGGTTACTTCGGTCACATAAATTTTACACAGTAAATATGAGTTATGAAAAGAAGGTTAATTTGGTGATTTTTTTTCATTTATAGAAATTAAACACATGGACTCATCATAATTTACACACTATTTTTTAATCAATTAAGCTAGATTTCTTGATTGTGTGTTAAAAGACATTAAATTTGATATGGAATTTTATTCTGTGTATATTTAAAATATTGAAGACAGCTTTAATTTAGTAAAATTTGTATATTTTTAGTTGTAATATTAGGTTTTTTTTCTTCTAAATTCAAGGAAAAGAATATGCTACACTTTTTAAGAAGGTCATTGATAGTAAACAATAATAAATATAATTATAATTGAAAACATCAGAGTCAGAATATAGTTTACTCTGTTTCTTTTTCATCTGAATAAGAAAAAGTGATTTGTTCTTTTGTTCATGTTTTCGCCGTATTTCGTACATGACTTAGATATGTTTAAGAAAGTACATGAGACAAGCAGGTGCTGGGAAATGAAACTAATAAACATCTATTCACATAAAAATAAAACTAATAAAATCCATCGTTTTAACTCCACCAAACCGGAGAAGAGTGAAGACATAGAATAGAACACATTTGACACATAAAACTAAATAAAAAGCATTTGAAAATTAGTACTATAATAAAATGTAAAATGTTCAAGCAAATTAATTTCAGATAGAATTGACTTTTTTCAATCAGATTTTGTCTTGTTACATTGTGCAGAACCTGAGTCTCTCTCTCACTACTCGAGGCTGTTGGTGGTTTTGTGCGCCTGCAGCCATATCTGCAACCCAGTCTTTTGGCTGGACACTTGATTTACTTTATCACCTTCCTTCTTTCACGCTGCAAACAATCGATGCAATTTGGTTTACGTTTCACTTTCACGCTTCAACTTGTGTTTGTGCTGTTTTAGTTATTTTCTATTTCTGGATCTGGGATCTGCCACGTTCAAGTCCACTATACAATGGGAAGCCCCAGATAGCAATTGCACTCTTTGGCTTTTTCTTCCTATGATTTATGGAAAATCATTTACACACATTTGATTACTATAGATAATTAAAGAGATCAATTTGAGCCTTTGTAACTAGGATAAAGTTAAGAAATATGAACATGTCTATGGATGGTCAATTGATTTGAATAATGGGATTTGATCAAATTAAAATTAATAGATGTGACTCTCTTCTTTTTTTCTTTTTCTTTTTTAATTAGTTCATTTCATATATTACTATCACTCATTCATTATCTACTTTCTTTGATAATTTTTTTTAAGAATGTTATATTAGAGCTTCCAAAAGGTTTAGTCAGGTCTATTAAGTCTAGTTTATCTTAACTCATTTTAATAGGTTAAACAGGTTGATCTGTTTTAATTAAAAAAAATGTTTTTAACCTTGAAACTAAAAGAATAAAAATATATTGGCAATTAGCGATCTTCACCCCAAATATTATTTCATCAATAAACAATAATAAAAAGTGATTCTATCTCCTCATATACATACAAATACATAAGATATAACACACAAAGAACCATTTAACCCTTTTGTGTTTTATAAAAAAATATTTGGAATTTTTATTTTATAAAAATAAGAAAAATAGAAGAATCCTTGCACTCTGAATTTATTTTTCTCAATTTCTGGAAATAAAGATAAGTTATGATGACTAAATGAAAGTTAAAATAAATAGGTTTAAATTAAAATTTATTTAAAATACATTATATTATCATTTAACAATTAATATATTATTTTATAATAATTTAAATATGAGATAATTTTTTAAGGTGTACGTGAAAAAAAAAGATAAAATAGAGGAAAAAATATTTTATTTATCAAAAAAATTGACATAAAAAAGTAGAAAAATATTTACGTAATAATAATTTTATTTATATTTAAATACAGATGCAGTAAAAGTTATTTGCAACAAGGACTTGAGTTCTGGGTGTTTGACTGAAACAAAAAGAGAGAGATGGTTATCAGACAATTTACTTCGTCACCGAATCCAATGAGGAATTCTGACCTAATCCGACAGGCTTTTGAAACCTTGAAGGTTGTGAAAATAGTGGTAGTAATTGGGTTAAAAATGAAATAGTGTGATTAATATGATTGAAGAGAAAGTAACTAAGAAGTTGTGCAATTAAGAAGGTTTGGGGTTAATTAATTTGTTGGAAAAGAAGGAAAAGGGAAGAGAGGGTGAGGGGTTGGTGGGTCACATCAGGTATCGCACGCGGGTTACGTAATGCAATGCAAAGAAGAATAGTAGATGATGGATGGTGGTGGGATTTGCACTTTGCACTGTTCAATCTTCACGCAGCGTGGCGTGGATTCTCACGACCTCTTCCTGCAATTTCTTCACATCCTATCCATCAATCACACACTCTCCACTGCTACCTGAGCCATCGCTCTGCACCAAGAATATCATACTCTTTCGTATTCTACATTTTAATAAGGGAGATTTTGATTTTGATTTTTTTTTTTCATCTTAATCATTTTTGAATTATTATTTTATTTTAATATTACGCCGTACGCGTTAAATGTTTAACTGATAAATAAATAAATAAAATGTTTTTCTGTTCACGGTTGACTCAATGCGGGCTGAGGTTAAAATAAATCATTTCAACCTGGCTGATTTTATAATAAGGCAGAAATTTAACAACTCAATTAACACACAGGTTCTTTGGTTAGATGGATTGGTTCTCTAATCCATATTTTTATTTTTAAATTTTTTTCTAATAAACATAACTGAATTGCGGGTGTGAAACACAATAATGAGATGATACGATAAACACTACAAAGTGACAAACGCTGTGGTACAACTTAAGCATGATGGTATGGTTGTGCGAAGATGTAGTAGTATGATGAATGCAGTGGTGCAACTAAAATGTTGTGACATAACTGAAATGCAATAAACATTATGATACGACTGAGATGCAGTGGTATGACAAACACAACGAATTATTATAATTAGTTTTTAAATTTAAATGAATGGTGGGTTGTGGACCATATCACTATAACCCGGTTTAAACTTGTTTAACCCGTGGGTTAAGTAAATCATGTTCATTTTTAACTCATTATTTATAGAAATGAAAAAATTAAACTCAATCTAGCTCGAACTCATTATGAGTTGGATTGCCTTACGAGTTACAACCCGTATTGACACCTCTATCATTTATATATATATATATATATATATATATATATATATATATATATATAATATTGGGATTTTATGGTTTTTGAATATCTATGTTCTTATATAAAAGATATATTATGTGGTGAAATTCATCTTTGTTATATTAAAAAATACATATTCAAAGACTCTAAAATCTGAACCGTGATATTAAGAGTTTTATTTCTTACGAGGTTTGTAAAGTGAAAAGAGAAGAAAGTTTTCATAAGTCATGATTCTAATTTTTTTTTATCACAAAAATTATGATCTATAGACTATCGTAGTACAATCATATATTAAAAAACTACATTTATAGGAAAATAGTGAAAGATGATAATATCCTTTATCCATTACCTAAAAATCTCACTATGATCCAAAAAAAAAAGAAAAAAAGAAAGTGAAAACAAAATCAGGTTTATTTATTGGTATTTCACAAATGATCTTCGTTATCGTTAGAATCATGACCGTAAAACTATCCAAAGAAAATTGAGATTCTTTGAAAGAAATAATGAAAATTGAATAAGAAAACTTAAGACAAGAAAATTTGTCATCAAAGTAGCGCGGCGAAAGGATGGTGGACTCAAGGGTCCTTTAATTGAATCCAAACTTTGATATTTTTTCCTTAAAAGTTTGTATTATTTTGTAGGTATCTTTTTTTTTGGGTTAACCAGTGATACCTATTAACAATGTCTCATAATTTGTTTAGTTAGTTTTTAAAAATATTTATTGTTTTTAGGTGTTTTTTTTTTTGCTAACTCGTGATACCTATTAACAATGTCTCATAATTTGTTTAGTTATTTCACCTTTGAAGGTAAAGTTTAAAATTGTTCAATTATTATTACGTTAGGTCATTATAAGGTCACCCCAGCCCTGCTCCCATTCAAGGTAGAAGCGTCATTTATTGATAATATATATTTATTATCTTTTGTTTAAATTATGCATTAAGATATTTTTAAGTTTCAAGGAAAAATCACGTTACATATATAGATTAAAATGTTGGAATTTTATTATTTTTGAATATTTTTTTTTCAAATGAGAGATTTATGATATGGTCAAGTTCCTCTCTCTTATATTAAAAAAATACATACTCAATAATCATAAAATCTCAATTGTGATGTCGAGAGTTTTAATTCTTATTAGGTTGTAGAGTAAAAGAAGAAGGAAGTTATTTTTCAAGTCACTATTTTATTTTTTATAACAAAAGATTATGACCTCTAGGCTATGATAATACAATCATAAAGAACTATATGATGTAGTCAAGTTCTTCGCTCTTATAATAAGAAATACATACTCAATAATCATAAAATCTCAATTGTGATATTGAGAGTTTTCATTCTTACCAGGTTGTAGGTTGTAGAGTGAAAGAAGAAGGAAGATTTTTTTAAGTCACTATTTTATTTGTTGATAACAAGAGATAATGACCTATAGGCTATGAGAATACAATCATATATATGAGAATACAATCATAAAAATATTTGTTGCTTTTGAGATTTTTTTTTTTGACCAACTCGCGATACCTGCAAACAATGTCTCATATTTTGTCTAGTTGTTTCAACTTTGTACACAAAATTTAAAAATTGTTTTACTATTACTCCATTAGGTCATTATAAGATCACCCCTAACGTTCATTAAAGTTAGAAGTGTCATCTACCAATAATAACCATGCGGGGTTTTCAAGTGTCTTTAGGAAAAAAAGTGTCTTGAGGTTCTCTTCGATAGTCAAAAGTGACTTTGTATACTTGATATAATCTTTTTTATTGTTATAAAATCATTTAAGAATTCTTAAAGAAGACTGAACATATCATTTGGCTAAAGTAAACAAATATATTGTGAACATATGTTTATTATCTTTTATTTAAATTATGTACAAGATACTTTTATTATATTATTTCAAAGAAAAAATTACATTATATTATATATAAAAAATGTTGAAATTTTATGTTTTTTTAATATCTATGTTTTTATATAAGAGATATATGATGCGTTGAAGTTCTTCTCTCTGTACATATGTGTTAATATATATATATATATATATATATTCAAAAAAACTCTAAATCTCAATCGTGATGTCAAGAACTTTAATTCTTACGAGGTTTGTAGAGTGAAAGGAGACAAAAGTTTTTCACAAGTCATGATTCCATTTTTTAATAACAAAAATTATGACTTATAGGCTATGAGAATACAATTATATATTGAAGAACTACATTTATAGGAAAATTGTAAAAGATGATTACATTGTCCATCCATTACCTGGATATCTCACCATGACCCAAATCAAATTCATAAAAAAAAAAAAAATAAAGAAGGAAAAAATAAAATCAGGTTTATTTCTCAGTATTTCACAAATTATCCTTACTAGAATTATGACCATAAAACAATCTAAAGAAAATTGAAATTCTTTGAAAAAACAATAAAGATAGAATAAGAAAATTTGAGACAAGAAAAGTTGTCATCAGAGTGGCGCAGCGGAAGCGTGGTGGGCCCATAACCCACAGGTCCCTGGATCGAAACCAGGCTCTGATATCTTTTCCTTAAAAATATTTTTTGTTTTTTACGGGTCTTTTTTTGTTTAAGGTCATAATATTTGAAGAATTATATCATAGAAAAATTGTGAAAGATTATCCATTACTTGAAAATCTCACCATGACATGACCCAAATCAAAACTAAAAAAAGGATAAAGGAAGACGAAAACTAAATCATGTTTATTTCCCAGTATTTCACAAATGATCCCCCTTAGAATAATGATCATTTAACCATTCTTACAAGGTATATAGAATGAAAAGAGAAAGAAGTTTTTCATAAGTCACTTTTATTTTTTTTATAACAAAAAGATTATGACCTATAGACTATGAGAATACCATCACATCTTGAAGAACTATATTTAAAGAAAAATTATGAAAGATTATCCATTGCATTAAAATCTCACCATGACCCAAATCAAAACTTAGAAAAAAAAAACAAGGAGAAAGAAAACTAAATCAAGTTTATTTCCCAATATTTCACAAATGATCCTTGTTAGAACTATGATCTTTTAACCATCCAAAGAAAACTGAGATTATTTGAAATAACAATACATCTAGAATAAGAAACTTAAGGCATATAAATTTGACATTAGAGTAGCGCAGTGGAAGTGTGATGGACCCATAACTCACAAGTCCTTGGTTTGAAACCATGCTCTAATATTTTTCTTTTAAAAATATTTGTTGTTTTTTAGTTGTTCCTTTTTCTTTCAGCCAACTCTATATACCTGCTAACAATGTCTCATTTTTTTTAGTTATTTAAGCTTTGAACACAAAATTTAAAAATTGTTCAATTATTACTTTGTTAGTGAAGTTCCTCTCTCTTGTATGAAAAAAATACTTACTTAAAATCTCACTTGTGATGTCAGGAGCTTCACTCTTTCATTTTATTATCATCCACCCCCATATTTATTATTATTTACTATTTTTAGACAAAATAATGTTTTACAATGAATATGTTCCTATAATTGTGTCATTATAAGATTCAACAGAGTTAAGTATACTCGCATTAATTTAGCAACTTTTTTTCTTACCCACATTTTGTGCAACCAGAATGTTGTCATCATTGGTGTCGTTGTCGGAGACACAATTGTGTTATGTAATATTGTCTAATATCATTTTCTTTTTTCTATTTTTCTTTTTAAAGTTTTATTTAAAAAAACAATAAAAAATAAAATAAAATAAAATTTTTATTTGTGTGTGCTCCCTAACCCTTCTTGCAGGATATTTTAGATAAGTATCCTTGCAAGAAAATTCCTGAAAACAATTATCGTAAGAAACTCTAGATGTAGCTTGGTAGTGTGAGAGTGCATGTTTAGGAGGATTTTGGCTAGGAAAACTTTAGTATTTAAGCATGTCTATTAGTTACTCATCTCTCTTTTTTAGGAACATACTTGGTGTACTTGTTCACACGATCTATCGTTGCTATTCCAATAGGTAAGAGATTTTTTTTCTTTACACAAACATCTCAAATGGCAGCAAAGATAAATAATCAGAGTTAAAGAACAAAATATCTGAGCTTACATCCTTGGTATGACAGTTGACCATGAAACAATACACATCTCGAATGTAACAAAATTTATGTGAGGAATGCACCTTCATAGATCATCCCACGGATGCATGTCCTCAACTTTATGAAACACCAATCTCAATAAGGAAAACAACGATCAGACTATTCCTTGAACAACAACATTACAAGCAGTCAAATCCATACATGCTACAACAGGAGTACAACCAATAATCGGTCACCTATAATCCAAGCTAGAGAAATTATCCCAACTTGAAATATGGTACCCTCTATAACATACTACCAAAGATTCCTTTCGGTTCGAGCAACCAAGGTCACCTCACCGCACACAATGAAAGTATCAACCTCCCTCACCGAAACAATAGGAAAATCCACACCTTGTGTCAATACAACAAAGCCTAAATAGTATTATGCAACAGGGTAACTTTGGGCAGTATTAGAAAACTTGATGAAGCAGCTCACACAGAATATGATAACAGAGTGCATAGTTCGAGCAACATATGACAACCACTATTAATGACATAAAACCCAAATTGGGCAATTGGTCACTACACTGAATCCACTGTTAGGAATAACAGTAACTACATAAGAATTCACAACTAAAATAAAAGATGAGAAAAGGGAAACAAAATCAGCAATAGGAAATAATAGAATTTTACTACCGGAAGAAATTATAATACCCTCTTTAAATTTAAAGAGAAAATAATAATAATATTCTCTTTCAGAAATAAGAAAACTCAATGACTATGCAATACACTAGTACAAGGGAGAATGAAGAGATTTGGGGTGATTTACAAGATAGACATTGTACTCCTTTTATAATAGGAAAAGTAAGCACCGACATATAATTTCCCTGATGTGACACTTCCCTTCTCACATCCACTACAATAACAAGGTGTGAATGCACTTCCCTCACAAAATAGTGATTAATCCAAGGGAGAATGTAAGTGCAATCACCCTAAGGAGTGGTCGAGAAGTTCAAACGGAGTAGGGAAACCCTCTGTTAGAAATGTAGGCTGAGATTAAGAGGGGGGTGAATTGATATTTGAAAGTTTTTCGCACTTTAAAGAAAACAAATTATCTATTTCAAAGATTATGAATTCTGATCAAGTTTTGAACCAAGAAAAACAAGCAATTCTATGTAAGGCACAAACAGAATAAAAGAGAGTAAAGGTTTAGAGAAAGACACACAAGATTTATACTGGTTCACCCAAACCACAGGGCTACATCCAGTTTCCAATCAAATTTCAGTTGAGTTTCACTAGATTGATTATGTTTCTTATTACAAACCCGAATCACAAAACACCCAATCCACACCAAGAACAAAATTTCAGTTCTTGCACCAAACCTTCTATTGAATTATTGGCAAGTGTACCAAAATTTTCAATCACAATATAATATTTCGATTAAATAAAAGTCGATCCCACGAGAAACAGATTCAATGGAAATTCCCAATTATATGCTTACTAAGTGGATTAAAACAAAGTGGGTTTTGGATAAAAAGTTGATTGAAATTAAATGACAAAGAACTGTAAATTGTTTAGAAAAGATCAAGTAAAGGCACTTAGGATTGACTTATTTCCTTATCCCTCTTTTGCAATGGTTATGTCAATTAAGAACATCAATTAACCTAACAATGTTGATGTCACCTACTCAAATCATCCATGTTGATTTCTCACACATGGAATTCATAAGAAAACCTAATAAATGTTGATTTCGCACACAATTAAGAGATTTTCCAGCATTAGGTTTAGGGTGTTAAGTAATTGATACATTCATTCCATTCCTGGCAATTAACGTAACAAATATTCTTACCATGATCTAGGGTTCAATATATATTTTTCAATCATATCCCAAACATCAAGAATAAACATTCAAAAGCATAAAAGATGAGAATAACAACATCAAAACATAGATTAATATCTCAAAATATCACCAATATACAAAAGAGTTCAAAGGAAGTGCATACAATCCCAAGAGAATGAAGTTAGCCACTCATGGTGACCATTATAATGCTCCAAATGTGGAAGAAGTGAAGAATTGATGAAGATTGGACGAAACCCTCGCAGTAGTCGCGCCTTTTCTCCCCAAAAATCGTTTTTTTTTTCTCAAAACACATTTTATCTTTTTATAGGAAAAATTGGGTCTCGCATCTTTCACTCAAGTGACAACACTCGCTCAAGCGAAAGTTCCCTATTTTCGCTCAAGCGACAAAATACTTGCTTGAGCGAGTGAGTTTCAGAGAAGAATAACTAATTTTCGCTCAAGTGAAATTAATGGCGCTTGAGCGACTGACTTCTAGAGAGTTTTAACTAATATTATCTCAAGTGAGAGTCTATCTCTCCAGCGATTTCCATGCTGAAAATCTTCTTCCTCCTTTCAGTTTTGCTCCAATTATGTTGACAATTATGCTCCTTACTTTTGTATCAAGGTATTCTCAAATTCATCCTACATTGAGAGAAAAATAGATTAGAATTGACACAAGTTAAGTGATTTCATACAATTAAAAGCATAATTATATCAACTTTTTACCACTTAACACCTTCACCAAGAACCAAATTCCAGTTCTTGAACCAACTTGCAACCAAATTTTAGCTACAGAACCAGTGTCCAACACTTTCAAACACCCACAATACAGTAAAGAATTGAAAACAACAAAGAGGAGAAACTAGAACAATCAAACCCGGATCATGCAGCTTTTGCAGAATGAGTTTCTTCACAAGTAAGAATGCAAAAATGCCTCAAGAAAGAACTTTGAAAAACTCCACAAAAACTCACACTTCTTTCTTGAAAAGATCTTTATTGATTGTTTGTTTGATTACTCAAATGTGTGTTTTAAAACGCTGAAGCAATCCTATTTATATAGAGTCATTTTCTAACTAACAGTTTAATTAATCGATTAAAACTTTCTTTTAATCGATTATTATTTCTTGATTAATCGATTAAAACCTCTTTTAATCGGTTAAAATGTGCTTAACCATTTTTCAGATTTATTTTAACTGATACGATGATATTTTAATTGATTAAAACAGTTATACAAAAATTTTCTAAATTATTTTAATCGATTGATTCGCGGTTTAATTGATTATAATTCTGCCAAAAAAATTTCAAAACTTCATAAGTGATTTTAACTGATGAAAGCCTGATTTAATCGATTAAAACATTTGACAAAAATTTTCTTTAGTTGTTTTAATCGATTAATTCGATATTACATCGATTAAAATTCTGGCAGAACACTTTTCAAAATATTTCAAGTGATTTTAATCGATTAATTCGAAGTTACATCAGTTAAAATACTGATACAAGGTTTTCAAATACTTCTTTAATGAAAATAATCGATTAATTTGAATGTGTATCGATTAAAATAGTGACAGTAAATGCGCTAAGTGGTTTTAATCAATTGTTTCGAGAATACATCAGTTAAAACTCTGTCATGAATGTTCCTAGCTACTTTTAATCGATTAATCTTTAAGTATATCAATTAAATCTTAGTCTTAAGAATATATTAATCGATTAAACTAGTTTTTAACGGATTAAAATGCTTAGAGGCATTTTCAAATTCTTTTAAATGATGAACCCTCATGCAACAGAGAAGAATGAATGATTATACCTATTAATATTGATGCAAACTCATTAATCACTGTTCCCTTTAACCCAAGGAGCCTTTGACTTCATCAAATCTTCAAGATCTTCATTTTATCATAAGTTTTAATAAGATCTTTATCACTTTCACCCTCAAACAACGATAAATTCAAGCTCCGTTGATCCATCAACATAGAAACAAGAACACCTAGAAAGAACATAGGCAAGCTTGGCAAAAGCCCATACAACTACTGAAGCAAGTTCAACGAATACTCCACTGTAACAACCTGATGTGGTGAAAAAGAAGGTGACCAAGTTACTGAAGAATAACATCATCTATCCTATCTCAGACAACACTTGGGTATCTATTGTTCAAGTCATTCCAAAAAAGAGTAGGCTAACTTTTATGTGAAAGGATCATTTTTCCCTTCCATTCATAGATCAAACGGTTGAGAGATTGACATGTTTCTACCAGTGATTCATTCGAGACATCAACAAGATGACATTGTCTCTTTTCAGCTTACTGCATAAAAACTTTGTTTGTTTTAGCTGA